ACCCCATGTAGGTCACAAGCCAAAGATGAGGGAAGTAGCAAAGCTTGCCTGTTTTTTCTCTTGTGTGTGTTTTTGGTTTTGTGTTTTGTTTTTTTTAATTTGCTTTGCTCCCTTCTTTGGAACAATTTTCCATTTATTCACTTCAATATATTTCTCTGTGGACGAAGTGGCAGCTTGGTGTGCTGTGAGATTGATCATCATAAGAGCACTGCTGGAAAGAATGGGAGCAAGGGGCTGATGTCACGTGGTCGTGTTCAGTTTTTATTACTTTCCGGCTTTTGCTTAATTGAACTCTGTCTGGTCTCTCCTGAGCAGCTGCTGGAGAGGTGCTTCAGAGCCATGACCTGCAGTACCGCTAGGCAGTTGTAGAGGGGATGCAGGCTTGCTTTTACGGCTGCAGCATCAGCACTTGATGCGTTTGAAAATAGGAAGACTTAAATCACTTCGAGGAACTTGCGATAAGGGATTTTGCTTTCCAAAATGTGTGACCAAGGGCACACTTAAATGCCAGGTGTATGTGCAAAATGCAAGCTGCCTGCTGTGACACCTTGAATAATGCTCCTGTGTTCATTAACAAGGCTCTTCTGAGCCCCGGTGCCCTTTTAAGCCCCCGAACTGGACCCGTTTCATTTTTTTCTTTACAAAATTGGGCTTAAGCACAACCCCTTTGAGAGACCCTAACACTGCTGGAAGAAGCAGGAGTCATTAAAATAACAAATAAGGACAGCCACTGGCCTCTCCATCCTTCCTCTCCTGTGCCTTTTCCCATCCCATCCATGTCATTGCTTGGAACCACTATTTTCTTACTGTGATTCTTTATGAGGAAAAGAGGAATCCTGGTCTATTAGAGTGGGAAGAGTGTGCTGGCAGTGTGGAGCTACCTGAAAACACGCTCAAAGATGTGCACGGGCAGAGGAGATGGAGTGGCTGGAAAGCCAGCCTCTGGAGCGTCAGAGGGAGAAACGGCGTTTTGGAATAGGCCGTGACAAAAATGCCAGTGGATGTTGCCTGCTTGGAAGGTGAAAAGAGGGGCCTGAATTTCATAAGAAGAGCAAAGGAAGCCGGAGCGCGGATTTGAGGATGAGTCACGCGTGGTGGAGCAGGGGTAAAGGAAGACCATGCTGTTGGACACGTTTGGGTTGGGTTGGCTCCTTTGTCTGCAAAATTGTTCAGAAAGATCAATTGTCCCCTCTTATTTCTGCGTGTCTCAGTTGTTGCAGGTCCGCTGAGGAGCGTCCTGCATTGAGGTGTCCTTAAAGTATTGACCTGTCCATTGAGGCCAGCATGAGTTTTGCCTCCTAGTGTCAGGATGAGGCTGTTCGCCACACTGACTCTATAGGCTTGGGGCGAAGGCTTAGGTGCGTAGGGAGTAACTGCTGGAATTACCATACTGGATCAAACCCCTGGCTTCTCTGGTCCAGTGTCTTGTTGCCAACAGCAACAGGCCCAGACATTTAGGACAAAGATGCCTGAATGCCTGCATCAAACCTGCCCCCCCCAGGATCCTCTTCCTAAGCCAGCAATTAGTGTTTGTCTTGTTGCTGGGGAGTGATGAATAGGATTTACATCTCTTCAGGGATTTTTTTTAAATCCTTATACAAACACAGTATTTTCTTATCTGTATAAATGTCTGCTGCTTCTGTGGTCCCTGCTGAGCTCTCAGCTTTAAAATGGTCTTGTGATTGTGAACTGTGCCCTCGGTAAATGTAAATGATAAGCAGGGACTTGACATTTACCCTTCCGTGTTGCGAGGCGGTCAGTAGGAGAGCCCCGTCTGCCTCTTCTGTAGGACTGGTTATTTTGAACACCTCTCGCATCTCCCCTCCTGGTCTAGACAAGCGCCCCGGTCTTCTCTGTCTCTCTCCCTCAGGCAGTCTTTCCATTTTGTAAGGGTTTTCTTTGCTGACCTTTGGTTCCTTCTATTTCTGCGGGGTTTCCCCTCTCTTTCTCGGGCTCTTAGCCACCTTCCAGCCCTCCTCATACTTTGCATCTGGTTGCCTTTGACAGTGCTGATGAGAAAGCACAGCACTCTGCGTTCCTGTCAGCTCTTTTGCCCATTTGATCACTGTATAAGTGCTTCATCCAGGGTGGAAGACAACTTATTTAAGCTAAAGCAGAAAAAGGGGATGACGTGGCCACGAGTGAGCGAAGGCTGGAGCACTAGGACTCCTGAACAGCCGACCAGCGGGTGGGAACAGGACTGCTTTCAAGGTGGATCTGAATTAGTTCCTGAGTGGGAGTGGATATTATGGTAGGAGGGACCAGACTTGAAGGCTTAGGAGATTGCTTCTTGTTCTTGTCCTTCTTGCTCTTATGTTTTTGGTGATGAAGAGGGTATCTAGCCCCTTTGGATGACAGAGGGGAGAAAGATCTGGGGATGACTTGTAAATACCTTATCTGCACAGGTGCAGCATTTGAAACCTGGACCCCAAAGCACAATATGAAGCTAGTTATGTTCAGCTTTATTTTATTTATTTTATTTTTTTTTGCGTCTAGGTTGGCTTTTGTGACTCCTTTGTTCCTTTAGGTCTTTATATGCTGCTCCCAGCACAGCCCCCTTCCCCGACTTTTCTTCCCTTCCTACCGTTTGTATTCAAGCCACACCATTTTATACACTGCTCTACGCATGTCTTTTCACAGCATCCGATGAAGTGAGCTCCAGCTTGCGAAAGCTTGTGCTTTCTATGTATGTCTGATTTAGTTAGTCTGTGCCATGCAAATCTACCTTGCCTGCATTATGAGTTGGGCCAAACTGTATCTGAATCACTGCTATCTGGTGTATATATCCTTGCTTTATATTTGTGTTCATGCTATGTGACAGCTACGTATTGTTGCTTGTTAACTTATTTTCGTTGCGTTTTTGTCAGCTTTTTATTGTGCCAGTGTTTCCTTTAATTAAAATGCAGAATTTAAATTTAAAAGGTCAGAATTTAAGTTCAGAATAAGCAAGTTTTTCTATACATCAAACTCCTGAAGATCAGGAACAAAATTACTGACTCCTTTTTAAGCACGCTCTAGCTTGTGCTTTAAGCAGTCACATTGCCCAGCTGCAAGGACTTGATAACATATATGACTATTTCTTGTGTGTGTTTGATGGATGGGTTGCCATTGGTCCCACCACTTACTTTTCTGCTGTCAGTTGGGGGCACAACAGCATATGTAGTCAAGCACTGCCTGCTGACACCATTCGCGGGCACACGCTTGTGCCTGTGCACACTTGGGCCCTCGGTTTCCAGTTTTACCCATGCAGTCAAAGACGTTTTTGACGACATTTTCCAGCTGTTCCATGTGAACTCTTAAATGCAGCTAGGAAGAGGCTCCAGGGACCAGCCATTCTGGAGGAAAGCTGCAAATTCTGCTTGCAACTTGACCCTCAAGCTTTAGTAGAGAAGCACTTGGCATCCCAGAGTGGCATTTTGCAGCATCTGAGGGGACGTGGATCAAGGGACACAGAACTTTAGTCAAAGCTGGTCATAATTGCTGTATATTTTTGTCCTGTTGCATTGAAGTAGTTTGTCTCCTGCCGTGATATGTAGTAGAATCCCTAGGGGAAGATGATCCAAAGGAAAGAAAAGGCTGCATTTTGAAGAGTCCTAGTTAGGTTGTTGTTTGTTTTTTTTAATCCTTTCTTCCATGTCTTATTAGATACTTCCTGATTTGCAGGAAGAGAAGTCCCCAGGCGCATTACAAAGGATATTCATATTTAGCCTCTGTAGTCTAATTTTGTTGTGGGCCTGGATGCAGGACTCTACTGTAGCGGTATCTTCAAAACGCACCGGCGTCCTTTGATCAGAGATCATTGTTCTCCTTTTGGTTCGGTTGCATTCATTCTCAAATTGTTGCTCCCTGGATGAGGTTTCCCATGGTCACCAGAAAAGAATATGTCAAGGGAAAGACGGGCATCAAATCTTCTTCCTTCACTGCTTCTGTTGACCAGGCTATTTTTAAATGTTCATGAGTAGAGCAGTCAGTTGCTCATTATTTACATGTTACAAATCACTTGCTGGTAACAGCAAGGGGAATTGGACTAATCTGGATGAGGTGGGCTCTTTTTTTTTTTTTTTTTTTTTTTTTGAGTAACACACATTTTAGTAAAGCCAACTGCAAGGTCCCACAAACAAGGTTGGGCACATTTAGAAAAGGAGGGAGTTTATTTTGAAAATGTAGAAAAACTGAACCTCCATCCTTAGAGGCTTTTAAGACCCAGCTACAGAAAGCCTTGGCTGGGGTGATGTAGTTGGGGCTCGTCCTGCTTGGAGCAGGGGTTTGGACTAGATGTGACCTCCTGAGATCCCTTTCCATCCTCACTTTCTATGATTTGTTGATAATAAATGGGATACCTTGTTGATTGTGAATTCCTTGTGCCGTGCTATAATTAGAGACTTCATGCATTCCTTGGTTGTATACAAGCAGGGAAATAGAGTAGGATCAAGGAGGAGGTATTAACTCTGTTCAGTATTAGGGAGACTTGCTAGATGCTGGTTCCAGTTCTGATGTCCACCCTTTTAAAAGGAAGGCTTGCAAATGGGAGAGGATTCAGAAAAGAGCTTACAAGAATAATTTGAAGTCTGAAAAGCATGTCTAGTGAGTGACGTAGGGTTGTGAGAGGATTCCATCGCTGGCTACAGGTACATACATAAGGAAGAGATTATTTAATGGTAGAAGTCTCAGGAAAAGCGAAAAATGATGCTGTGATTGTAAGCCTGAAGCTAGACAAATTCAAACTGTAAATAAAAAAATAATTTTTTTTTTTTTAACACTGAAGGGAATTAATTTTTGGAACAATGTGAGTAAGGATGTGGTAGAGTCTCCATCACTTGAAGTCTTTTTCAATCAACACTAGAAGTTATGGGGTTGCCCCAGATGCTGATCTATGGCCCATGTTAAGCAAGAGATCGGACCAGAGGATTAAAGTGATCCACACTTACCTTAATATCTGCTTCTCTCTGCTTAATATCTGTGGATCTGTGAATAACTCTCTCTTTCTGTTTTTCTTGTAGTTCCTGAGGGAAGACTTAAATTATCATGACCCAACAGTTAAGCACAGCACCTTCCATGGAGAGGACAAACTCATTAGCGTGGAAGATCTCTGGAAGTCCTGGAAGATATCTGAAGGTAAATATTTCCTTACCTAAACACACGAGTCTCTGTCTTGTTTTGCCATTTCAGCAGAAAAGATGAGCATCGGTTCCACTTTTTGCATGGACTTGGACTTGCTCTTTACCAGAAGTGTAACAGGAGGAGGACTGTGTTCCACCCATACATAAAATGTCTGGAATAGTTGACTTGGAAAATTTATATTCCAGTTTAAATTATTCTACTTCAAAGCATTTGCTAATTAAATGGTCAAGTTGAAAATGGAGTTGATAAACAGAATAGCAGCATAGTTGCATTCAGCACTGTAGTAACTGTCCCAGAGGACAAATAACATGACAGTTATAGCTCTGAGAGGAACCCTAAAGAAGTCATCTAAATATGAATACTATTAGGTGGTGGAGTAGGTTCTCAAGGGGAATGTTAACGCCCCATTGCTGAAACACTTCACATTGAACTGCATAAATAATATCTCCTTGTAGAATATGTTTTCATATACACCAGTAGGAAGTCAGTACTGCTTCTGGACTATGTGCATGCATTATACATTCCCCAGGATGATGGCATTAAGTAAGCAGACAGCTCCTTTTGCATGAGATGAAACTTCTGAGTGGTGCTCCTGATAGCAGTCCAGCTGAGTGGTCCCAAAGGCACGGATGGATGTCTGTGGTGAGGTTCACAGCAGAAGGTTGGCCACTGTCTTCAAATTTACCATAAATGCAGAAGGCATTTTTGCTTGCCACTAATGGCTGGTATTCCTGCAACTCAGAGATTCTGAAAACACTTCCAGCTTGCAAACAATCCTGATAGTGTCAGCTGGAAAACGTCCAAGCGCTGCCTCTACTGCCCTCAGCAAGTTCCTCTGACTCCTGTTCCGACATAGCTCTGAGATTTGTCACCGTTCGTTATTGCCTCCCACAGTCTAAAATTGTCTTCGATGGGGCCAGAATCCTTACCTATTCCCTGCGCTCCTGCTTTCCCTGAGAAGTGCTATGAGGCAGTGATGCGTGTCAAAAATACTAGTGGTACTGAGGAATTTTCCAGTGGAGGGTGCCTCCATCAGCAGATCCCAAAGCATTCGATTGAACTTTCAGCAGAAACTGGGTGGGTTCCTGATGTTTCCCTGGCTCCTCTGCCCGTGGTTTCCAGACTCCCTCCAGGCAGCTTGGGGAGCTGCAGACATTTAGAAGGGGTCAAAGCTAAACGCCACCTTGCTTGTTCTACCCAAAATGTAAGAATCCCTGCTTGTGTGGGAAGTTTTAGGCCGTTTAAAATTTTTTTCAAAAGTCAGTGAAAATTCTAGTTTCTGATCAGTGCCAATAAACAGAAAAAGCAGGACTAAATAAGACAGCAGCGGCATACATGTCTCTATTTGAAAATGAAGTGATATCGTGCCAGATTCTGAAATCCCTTTTTTCCAGGATTAGACTTGCAACCACATAAAAATTGCGTGGCTTAAACTTTTCCAAACCACTTCAAAGTTGGAAGGACATTGATGGGTCCTGTTTTGTCTTGTGTGCATTCGAGGAAAGCCCGATGTTGGAAATATTTATTCTGTTGTACCGATGTTTACAAACGGTATTGCCTAAAGTCCATCATAATGTCCATTCGATAAGCCCTAGAGCCATTACGGGCATCCTGAGACATTCAGAGGTCCGTTAATTGCTTGGTTGCTTTGCTTGCTTGCTTGCTGTTCCTGGAGCGCATCTGAGGAACATTTCTTCATGTGCTTCTGCTACAAGATTTTTCCACTTGCTGTGTTGTTTCCACATCGCTTAGCAAGAGCTTTGTTTTTTCTGCCTCTCCATTCCAAATGCCTTACTTAATAACATGTTATATGATTAGCGTGCAAACCGAGTCTAATCTCTCCGAGCATGGACTCCAGCTGAATTCAGTGGTGCATTCACGGAAGACTTAGCAGAGTTAGGGGCGGAGAGGAGGCCGTGCTTTCCTGCTGCAGTTGTCACCTGAAAAGTGACTTGAAATGGCCCTGTGGGAGCCTGCTTTAGGCGTCAGTCAGTGACAGGCTGCTCAGTTTGCGAGTGAAATACTTTTTTTTCTGTTTGCCATCCCCATAGTTACTGCCTCGGAGGTTGAAATTACTGTGTTTTCTGTCCCTCAGATTGTCACCGAAAATTAAGGCTTTGTCATTGGGATGTTTATTCTTGGTTTAATGGGCAGGCTCTTGTTCAGTATCCTACAATGGTGTTGGCTGTTTTGGACTAGAAGCCAGGATAGATTTGCACCTTACAGAGTATCCAAAATAGATGTGTATATAAAACAAGCTTTCATCAGCTGAAGCTCCCTTCATCAGATGCTTCAGCTGTATATACTACTTGGTTAGTCCGTAAAGTGCAAATCTGCTCTGCCTTCTACTTGACTTCAGGCAACTGTGGCTATCTACACCTCTGCAGAACTAGTCAGAGGAAAGACTATGTTTCTGTCAATAAAATAAGAAGCACAGAACGGGCTTTTAGAGTAAAAGCTGCAGTTTTATGCTGCTACCTCTCCAGTAGGAAAACCTGACCTGGGCTTGCTGTGCAAACCCTTGCCCTGCTTTCTCCCCAAGCAGCGTGCACATACCGGGCAGCTGGTCAGCGCGAGTTCCCTGTCGTGCTCCAGCATTTCTGGAGGCTGGCAGGCTATTTCTCAAAGAAACTTCCCAGTCCTTAATGCTATGAGGAAAGACGAAGGCAGGCGGCTTCTGAGGAAACCTGCGTGCAAACATGCACCAGGCAGGCAGGTGTTAGCAGCCTGGGACATGAAGGCAGAGGAAAGCCCTCCTCAGCTAGATAAATCGGGGGCCACATTACATGTCCTTGGCCCTTGTCCTTGAGCAGTTGCCACACTCCCTGGATATCTTCAGATTCAGAGCAAGGGCTTTTCAGCTGGGCACAGACCCAGGAGTTAGTGGGGGCACCTGTTGTAAAGCCAGCCTTGCTTACAGAGGGCCTTAAGTCCCCCGGGCCACACTTCCTTTCCTTGGATGACAAGAGATGCTCGTTCCTGACGGGCTCACGCATTGAAGTGGTGCACAAATAAAAGCTGGAAATCAGAACGGATTTTGCTTGTAACTCCTTGACAACAGAGCTCACTTCAGCCTCGTGGGTTTTACCTCGAGGTGTTTTACAAAGAAACTTTCATTGGGTTTTATCACCTCCACCCAGCCCTTGAACTGTTTGCTGGCAGGGGTGAGAAGCTGTTTTGGTGTTTAACACCTAGGTTTGGAAGAGCCGAGTGTAATGTCCAAGTCCCATGGGTGTGTTCTCATTTGACGCTTGCCAGATGTGAAGGGGAGGCTTTATGGCCACTGTCTGGCTTCTGTCATGTGGAGTTTCATCCAGTTTAATGCCAGAAAGGGTTATCTCTGACCAGTGTGTTTTTTCTGGCCTAGGAGATTACGCTCTGCTTATACCCAGCACTCCTCTGCTAACTTTTGTCAGACAACCAGCTCCTACCACATCACGACTTCTGCCCACGCAGAGGAGTTCATCTGGATAGCGTGGACGATGCTGTCATATTCTCATGCATCTATGCTAAGTCAAGGAGCTGGGGTGCAGTTGATAGCTGATGTTAGCAAGGTCAAATCTATCGAATTCCCTCTTTTAAAGCAGTGATGACTGATTTCGACATCCAGAGAAATTTAAAAGCATAGTGTATGCATCTGAGAAGTGTCCTGGATTGTGCAGTAGTTGCAACCAAGCAAACAAATGGCTGCACATCAAATAGAAGGCCTTATTTAAATGATCTGTACAGTGTGTATTGGGTATATGCATAATTTGTCCACCTGCATAACATGCCACTGCTCCTAATTTTTTCCTGTTGCTCATAACAGACTCTGGTTATCTGTGTGTTGGTTAGACTAGAGGCATAAACCACTGCAGTACTAGGAAGTTTAGGCCCCACTGTCTATTTTGTATAGTAACCTAATTGCCTCCTATTTCACTGTATAATTGGCGAACCCGATTAGGAGCTGCCAGTATCAGGGGTTTTAAAGCAATCTTGATCTAAAATGGCTCCTCCCAATTTGTAAACTGCAATTAGAGAAATAAGATAGTCTGAGAAACAAAGAAACCGGCCTTAATGAGTCATAAGCTCAGCAGAGGCCGTTCCTGTAGTTAATTGGCACCATTTGCACCGAGTTTGGACAAGGGCATGTTCTAGTTAAGTCCCTTTTTCATCCCAAGGCTGTGCACTTCAACAGAGCGTGCTCTGGTTTTCTTGAATGCCGCTTGGAGAGGTAGAGTTATGCCCCACACATCTGGCACAGGTGACAGCAGGTATGGTATGTTGGCTAGGAACAGATGTTACATTTGTCCATGGTTCACATTGTGCCTGTTTGTCCCAGAACAAAAACGATCTGGGATTTGTGTGTACACACATCTCCCTTCTAATTGAGGGTTAGTGAGCAGCTGAATACACTGCTGGTCCTGGGATGCCTATGCAGACGCACTTTGCTATGTCCTGGGATAAGCTGCTAGCACTTCTTATTCTGTGAACCTTTTAGGATTCATCCTGGGACAGTGGACACGGATGTGCAATTGCAGTACCTGTTTGTAGCCATCAGAGCATGACAGAAACCCCCCATTTACATGAATGGCCTTATTGCTTAAGGATTTTTTTTAGGTATTTTAGTCGCATTGCTGTGGTCAAGCAAAAATCAGGGGCAAGACAGAAACCTCATTTCTTCTTTAGGTGCCTGAAAGTAGGAGCTGTTCCTAAATGTGGGCCCCAAAGCCATGCAGGGTATCTCAGGGCAGCATGGAGAAAAGCACTCTTTTGTTTCATTCCAGATAATCTGTTCATGGGTCATTTTCTTGCCATTTCTGAAAAAAAACGTTTTCTCTCCCTGCGCACCAGTCTGCGTAGATGAATTGCTGGGCCGAGGCGGCAGCAGGGTATATAGGGATTGCCGCTGTCTCTGGGGCTCTTCTGCCCTGGAGGAGTCCGTGAGTCATGGAGTGGCACCCGCCTGTGTTTCAGGCGCGTAGCAACAGCGGTTGTGTCTTGTTGGAAAGTGAGGGATTGTAGGGATGTGGTTTTGGAAACGCAGGGAGCAAATTCTTACAAGGCTTTTTCTGCGAGCTTCTATGATGTCAGCATTGTAGTCTTCCTGCACGGTGCTATTGCCATGCAAAGTCATCCGTCTCAGAGACGTCTTGCCTGAGGCTATTTTTGGGAAAAGTGATACTTGCCTGTTTGTGTTTAGTGATGTATGCAGGACAGGCCGTGCATAGCCAAGGTGTTGCAAGATCCTTTTAAGGGTGATACAGAATGCACAATATTAGCACAAATGCCTACATGTGATTCACCCACAGATTTCCAGAAGGAATCCACAGGGAACCATTCAGCCCAGCTGTGGGCTTTGCAACAGAAGAATTGCTCTAATATTTTTCCATAGTGAAAAAAGAGTGAAAGCTCAGAGCTGGCATTTTCCCAGAGGGGCCTTGAGTCAACAAGGTTGAGAATCACTGGCCTGGCGCATCCCAGCATGTCCTAGTGCAGCTTTTGGCCATTTCTGGGAAATGTGTTGTTCTGATGTGTGCAGCCATTCAGCACTGGGGGTTTTAACCCTTCAAAGACTTTATCTTCACTAGGGGCAGAAGGCAGGGGTGCATCTGGTGTGGTGATGCCAGCTGATGCGCCAGGGCTTTCAGCAGATTGGAGGCCTGTTGTACACTAAAAGCGTTAAGCAGCTTGTCTTTGACCTCCCTACAGTGTATAACTGGACGGTCGACGAGGTGGTGCAATGGCTCATTACCTATGTAGAGCTACCGCAGTACGAAGATACCTTCAGGAAGCTGCAGCTTAGTGGACACGCGATGCCCAGGTCAGTGCCAGCTCCATTTTCTTACTTCCCTGTTGGCTGTATGTGCATGAGAGCAACGGATGTTACAGGATTTCGTGGTGGGGTTGGTTGTTTGCCTCCATGCAGAGGGCCAACACAAGCTTTGCCTTGCTTAGCTACCATATGAACCCTGTTACATGGGCTTGGGGGATGCATCTCTGTGCATGCAGAAAGTGCAGTCTTGTGGATACAGCCCTGGGTTAGGACCAAGCTGGCTTGGGTCCAGTTCCTGACCAGCCACCTCCTTGATTGTGGACTAGTCCCTGAGTCTGTGTTGGCTCCCCAGCTGTCACGTGTGTGTAATCCTCCCTGCAGCTTCCCCCAACTCTTCTCTGGCCCAGTCCCTTTAGAGCAGTGATTCTCACGCACGGTACCACAGCACCCTGGGGTGCCTTGAGATCCTTTCAAGGGTGCTGTTCCATGTCACACAGCATTAGCTCTGTTCGGTTTGCAAGCGTGATTCACAAGATTAAATTCAGAGATTTCAAATAGAAATTCATAGTGTGAAAAACATTCTGCCCTGTTGTGGTCTTTTGGAGATCTTTGCAGCAGAAGAATTGCTCTGCTATTTTTTTGGCAGTCAGAAAAAACAAGTGAAAACTAAGAGTTCACATTTTCCGGGGGGGGTGGACCTTAAGTCTAAAATGATTAAGCGCCACTGCTTTTAAAGTGTGAGCTCTTCTAAGCAAGGAGGATCTGCCATCATGTGCATCTTCAGTGTTCTGCAGAAGTATACCCTGATCCTGGTTTGGTTTGGTTTGGTTTTCTATATAACCGTCTACCCGGGATCTTTTGAGCACATATTGCCAACCCTTTACGGAAGCAGGATATTGTCTGCTGTGGTCCCCCTGCTTTCCCTGCGGCAGGTTCGGATGTGATGTCTGGTGCAGTGTCAGGGTGAACTGTGTAGTTTTGCTAAGAGGTTAAACTATAGATGCGTCTGGGCTGGTTTGGACAGGGCTGATCCTGCTTCCGGCAGGGGTTGGACTAGAGATGACCTCTGCAAGTCCCTTCCAGTCCCACTGCTCTATGATTTTTGTGATAATCCTAATAACAAGCAAGAGTGGCTGAATCTCCTTGCATAACAGGATGGCTTAGTCTTTAATTTGGGGAGGCCCTAGCAGCTTGGCAGGAGCTCAGTGCTGCCCTTTGGCCTGATGTTATTTTCTCTGACACGGGGCGTGGAGGAGGAGGAGGGGGCATAACCAGCAATTAAACAAGGCTTTTGTGGCAAGATAAGTTTTACCTGGAACCACTGCTCTCCAGGCCTGCGTGCCCTGGCCTGATGATGGTTTCCACCCCCTGGGTGATGTGCTCTTTCTGGGCAGTGCACAGGACAGGGGCCAGCGAACAGTCACGTGGGTCCGAGAAAGCAACCGATGGACAGTGCAGCTCCATGGGGAGAGATGGGTGCATCGGGAGAGGCGACCTTTGGTTTCCAGGTTAAACGGAATGAAAACTTTAATTTGTATTTGTCTGACGCTTGAATCAATGTCCTCCTGGAGGCCTGGGAAGCTGTTTTTCATTACAGCGAGTCCTGTAGCGGCCTTCCGTTCACCGACGCCTGAGGGGAAAGTGCCCTGGCTCCGGTTGTTTCTCCCTGCAGAGCTCTCGCTCTTTTCCAGACCATTATGTAACTGCTTGCCTTTTCTTCCTTGCAGGCTAGCGATCAACAACGCCACCATGATGGGGACAGTATTGAAGATGACTGACCGGAGCCACAGGCAGAAGCTGCAGCTGAAAGCCCTGGACACGGTGCTGTTTGGGCCTCCTCTCTGTGAGTAATGCTGAAGATCCCCTGCCCTATAAGGAAATGCACTCAGTGCAGACTCAGAGCTGAGATGTGCATAGGTGGACCCATACCTGACCCTACCAAAGGTCACTGAGGTAATTTGCACAAAACCGGGAGCTGCACCTACATATTTAACAGGATGGCGTTTCTTAATGCCTGCCTAAGGCATGGCCAGGTGTGTAGTCCCACCTTTCTACTAGCTGGAACGACAGCGCAGGCCACAGGGCACAACACTGAGGTCAGCCTCTAGCCTCAAAGCAAACTGGTTATTGTCTCCATTGTGGATCGGAGCTGCCCTGTGACCGGGCAGGAGAGATGTTCTCTAGTTGACCCAGCTCTCTCGTCCACGGGACAGGTGCAAATTAGACTGATCTTCCATGAGGAACAGGGCAGGGCAGGCTGGTTGAGAAGACCTGTTAGACTGCATGGAAACCAGGAACTGAGTCCTCGCAGAGCACTGACTAATGGGGTCTGGGTGGGGGCCCCTGCCTTGTCCTACTCCCTCAGTGCTGCTGGTGGGGCTCTGGGAGCTGTGTTTTGAATGAAGGAAGGTAAATCTGGTGGGCTTGTGTGGTAGCTGTCACATTTTCCCTCTCGTCTCTCCCTTCCATTTTGTTTTCCTTTTTTTGTATTTCTTTTCTTTCATGTATCTGGTAGCACCTAGCCAGCTGCTTGCCCTGGGCGGTGGGCTAACGTAGGATAATGGACAGTTCTTCTTTTATCTTTGCTCTACTCCCTACCAGCACATCGCTGCGTGCATCTTGCTCGGGGTCACATCTACAAAATAAGGGACTGTCCCCCAGAAACAAGGGACTCCAAAAAAGGCTTTGGTGGATGCCACCAAGCAACACATCATCCCCCTGTGCAATGCTGTAGCAAGAGGGACTCGTGATTCTTGGATGCCTGTGTGGAAAGGGTATGGAGGTGGTTTGACCTCTGTATTACAGTACTGGGGGAGGGATGGTGCTTAGCTGCATCCATTTGATGGTTCAGGCATTCCCACTGTAAGAGATGGGGAGCTCTGAATAATTCTGGGGCTCTTGATCAAAGGCTGAAAATATGCCTGACAGTGAAAGGCTTGAAGAGCTCAGTCCGTTTTGTTTATTGAAAAGAAGCCGTAGAGGTGAGTTGAGTGCAGGGTGTGTTACTATCTCCGGGAAAAGTACTAGGTGCCAAAGGGTTCTGTCATCCAGTGGAGAAAACACAGCTTTCATCAGACAACCTTAAGTGCAAAGGAAAAGCTGCTCTTCCTGTAAGCATTAAAGTCTGTCTACATCAGTGCCGATACCCCATCCTGTTATAATGACCGTAGCGGCATTTTCTTAACAAAGCTTTTAAATCTGAGCTCTTTCCGTGCTGACAGCACAAGTGGAAAGGCGGCCACGACTAGGAACTGAAGGGGATAAGGTCAGAAAGCCTGCGGTACAGAACTTGTGATGGTGGGTGGCCACTGGGTAAACACACAATGAATTATTAATAATTGCTGTAAAGGACTAACCCTGTTCTTCAGTCTAATATTTGCTCCTCGATTTGCTGATTCAGGGGGTTGTCTTCAGTTAACTCTGCAATGGTCAGAGAGCTCTTCATGTAGAATTAGATCTGGAAGGAATGGACTACAAAACTGCAGGGTGCCTTGAACAGCTGGCAGTTCTTAGCCTCACTTCAGGAAGTCCTTGGTCTCCTTTTAAACTGCTTACCTCTGGATAGAGAGAGTTGAAATGAATTCTGATCAAGTGAAAGCGTCCTCTCTTGATAGGTATATCCCACTGGGTGTATTAAACTGTTGGCTGATAGACTGCAGCCCAGAGGTGCAAGACTTGCTTTTACTCACTGAGGCCCAGCATAGCTGGTGATTTGGATGGTTTCAAAACAGATGGACTGTAAAAGGCACACTGTCCAGTCATCCATGGCAAAGCCATCAGAAATGGTAGATAAAATCCTGATCCTGCAAGTAGAGATCACAGCATATGTGCAGGGGGAATACTCTGCTTGCTCACAAGACTGGCTGGATGTGAGGCCAGACGTTTGTTCACTAGTGAAACTCTGAGATCTGATGCATAGCTCCAGTAGGCGTGCGGTCACCTACATCTCTTGCCTAAGATGCTGGATGTTGGGTAGAGCTTTTAGGATTTTGTGGGGACTGAAGTTCTTCAGAGAATCATAGAAAGCCATCCTAGACAAGTGCTTGCCTACTCCGTTGTTAAAGGCGCACACAAGCTGTGCATCAAACCATGAACCAACCCCTCCTGAGTACAGGACTCAGTTTTTCAAAACTAAGTTGCCCTCCTGCTGTTGCAAAGAAAGGCCTTGTACTTTAGGTTGAGAAACAAGGGAGAAGAGGGAAACCCTTCTACATAAAAAATGGTAGAGAGGTAGGGCTGGAAGGGACCTCGAGATCAAGTCCTAGGTCTTGTGTCTTAGAATCATGGAAAATGAGGGTTGAAGGGACCTCAGGAGGTCACATCTAGTCCAACTCCCTGCTCCAAGTAGGACCAGCTCCAGCTACATCATCCCAGACAAGACTTCATCTAGCTGGGTCTTAAAGCCCCCAAGGATAGAGACTCCACCACCTCTCTGGGGAGCCTGTATCAGTGCTTTACTATCCTCCTAGTGAGAGAGTTTTCCCTAATATTTAACTTAAACTTCCCTTGCTGCAACTTGAGCCCATTGCTCCTTGTTCTGTCATTCACCACCACTGAGAAGAGTCCAGCTCCGTCCTCTTTGCAGCCTCCCTGCAGGGAGTTGAAGGCTGCTATTCAGTCTCCTCTTCTCCAGACTAAATCAATCCAGTTCCCTCAGTGTCCCTTACAACGATCAAACCTGCAACCTTGGCATTGTTAGCACCACGCTCTAGCCAAAACGGCAGTATCACAATGAAAACAAAACTCCACTTACTGTTGTCATTTCAACAACTCTGTGTGGCTGCGAGACCTGGACACTCACTAGGGCACTGGAAAAGCAAATTGAGACCTTTGAAATGTGGTGCTTCAGAAGACTTCTTGAAAGCATAAGAAGAAGAAAGATGCAGTGGTTTTGGACATGTAGGAAGAAGACCCAGCACCTGAGCTTCCATTTCCTACATCCCACCTTTCATCCCAAGGGGCCACAAAACACTTGGGGGCCACTCCAGCTGCCTCTGGAGTGGAATACAACAGGTGCCAACTATTTCATTTAATTTGTTGACCTGTGTATCATCATCAGGGCTGAAAATCACGCTTGCCCCAAGGATTGATAGGGCATAAAAAATGCTATGTTCAAGTGATGCAGCCTGGGAATTTAGGGCAGCAGTGTGTAATTAGCCAAGTGAGAATGCTGTCTTTGTCACTAATGGCAGCAGCCCAGCTCTTGTAACAGGGGCTGTAGGAGTTTTAATCACCAGCAGCAATTAAAAAATTGGATTTGTCTCTTCCCTTGATGCCTTTGAAGCACAGGGTGCTGTTGACCAGCAATGACCTCAGAGAAAGACTGCCTCCCAACTCGCCAGTCTTAGGGTGTTTTATCCAGTGTCAGCAAGGCCGGACTCCTATAGCTCCTGGGATTTTTGGAGATTTAATTGGTATAGGTGCCTCTCTGATTCCCTTTGCCAGGGCGGATGGGCGCTCCGTATCATTCGGTTCACGCAACTGCAAAAATACATAAGCTGTGCCGGGCTGTCAGCTAAGCCCCACAGTCCTCTTCACTACCACATCGATGCGCACACTGACTTGGGGGAGTTGTTAGGAGGAGCGGATCTCACGAAGAGCGAGTGCTTCTCAAAATGCTCTGGTTCCCGCTCTAGCTTTGGGAGCCAAAGTAGATCTGGGTGGAGCGGCGTTATGACAGGCGTCTTGTTCCAGTGCTGCTCTCAGCTCCGATTATCCTCGCTGGGAATTGAAGGTGGACAGTATCTTTGGCTTTAGTCGGGCAGCTGTATGAGTCTGTTGGGGGGGCTGGAGTGCTGTTAATAGCTGTGATGGTCCCGGAAATATGCAAGGATTTTGCAAGAGTGCCTTGCAAATAAGCAAGAAATATGCAAGGGTTTGGGGTTTTTTGAGGATTTTTTATTAAATTAACTGGACAGCTAGGAGAGACATTAGACAAGCTTCCAGGCATCAAATGCCCTTCTCTGTGCCTGAGACCTTGTCTAACATCTCCCCCAACTATGCAGTTGGTCCAGTAAACAAAACAAAAGCACAAAAAGCCTGAGGCTCAGTCCGACAGAAATGCGAAGGCTGCTTGCCTAAGCTAATCAGAGGTCCGGTTTACCCATAAAAGGACAAGGTTTCTAAATAGGATATGGCACCTGGGAGTGTTAGAGTGGCAGGATTTTCTTCCTTTTCATTAAATGTTTATTCCGTTAGTGTCATGCCGCCGAGATGGACGATCCCAGATTTCCTTTGGTATGAATTCCAGTGTGGCTGTTTTTCTCCTGTAATAATTAAAAGCTCATTTGACAAGTTGTCTGATGCCTGCTGGAGCACTGTTTGCTTAAAGCAATAGAACCTAGTGACTAAATATCAAATTCATTATCGTTCTGAGATTTACCATCCACTTTAAATATTTAGAGTCAAGTGAGTTGTGTTTAGATTACCCGCACCCACATTGAACAGCAGCTTTGAGCTGAGGCCCAGTGGAGAGTCTCATAAATGACTTTGCTGCTTACAGATCCATTAGCTTTATTGTATAGTTTTGTCATCGTCCATGACAGCAACTGCGCTAAAATAACCTGTCATATGAAATGATTTCCAAGGAGAAGCAACTACAAACGGAGGGTAATGAAGGGAGTAGGAGAACTTTGTGATCAGTACTACAATGCCCTCCTCTTGCAGAAAGGGATCAGTATGGTGTGTTTGTGGCCTTCAGAAGAAAAGGTGAGGTGCTCTGGAGGTATGAAATAACGAATGGCGTAGAGAAGGTGCATCCGGTACCCCTGTTCACCTAACTTCATAGGCCGCAACCACACATGCATGGATGTTTGGTTCCCCGGGGACAAGGAGTGGCTGTGC